ACTGCTGTACCACCACCACAGTCACTGCTGGACCACCATAGTCACTACCACACAATCACTGTTGTACCACCATCAGTCACTGCTGGACCCATCGCCACAATCACTGCTGGACCACCACACACCACTGCACCACCACCACCACAAATCACTGCTGCACCACCACCACAGTCACTACTGCACCACCGCCACCACAATCACTGCTGCACCACCACCACAGTCACTACTGCACCACCGCCACCACAATCACTGCTGCACCACCACCACAGTCACTACTGCACCACCACCACCACAATCACTGCTGCACCACCACCACAGTCGCTGCTGGACCACCACCACCACATTTGCATTGCTCTACCACCACCACAGTCACTGCTCTAGATTCAAGATAGACAATGCATGGGTAAAGCAATGCTCTCTCTCTCTCTCTCTCTCTCTCTCTTTCTCCCTTCTCTCCTTAATTCAATTACTTCACCCTAAGGAACACGGTTCATGGCTCTTTGCTTCCTTTACTTAGTTTATTACTATTTCCCTGTTTCTTTTGCCTGCGGCGTCTCCTCTGATTTACCTTATTTTTCTGTCTCTGTCTCTTCGCTTAGTTTATTAATTTTCTATCTGTTGCTTCATTCAGTTCCTCATAACAATACCTCATCTCTCACCTGTTCTCTCATTCTTTCCCTGACAACAGTACCTTATTTCTCATGTAAATCGTTCTCATTTTTCTCACAACAAAGGCTCATCTCTCCCCTGGTTCTCTCTCCAACAATACCTCATCTACCCCCTGGTTCTCTCTCCAACAATACCTTATCTCTCCCCTGGTTCTCTCTCCAGCAATACCTCACCTCTCCCCTGGTTCTCTCTCCAACAATACCTTATCTCTCCCCTGGTTCTCTCTCCAACAATACCTCATCTCTCCCCTGGTTCTCTCTCCAACAATAACCTCATCTCTCTCCTCTACTTCTCTCTCCAACAATACCTCATCTCTCCCCTGGTTCTCTCTCCAACAATGTCTCGTCTCTCACCACCAATTGTCCTCGAGTTTCGTCATTATAATGTGATAGTTTTATCCTTTTAAAACCCGTAATTAAACACCATTGATTATGTATTGTCAGTCAGTCTTGATAGAAATGAAATAATTTGCACACAGGTTGGTTGATGTGTTGGGTACTTTTATTACTGAGTGTAAGGGGTGTTTATCCTCTTATTCCTTCTGTCCTATCCACCCACCCCCCCTCTTCCACCCATCCCTTCCCCCTTCCCAACCATTCCATACTATCTTCCATCCATTCCATCACCCCTTCCATCAATCCCTCCCCGCCCCGCCCAACAGTCCCACCTCCCCTTCCAATTATCCCATACCCCTATCCAACTATCCCAGCCTCCTTCCACCCATCCCTTCCCCTTTTAACTATTCAATCTCCCCTTCCAACCACCCCATCTCTCCTCCCAACCATCCCATCCCCCTTCCATCCACCCCCCTTCCAGCAGTCCCATCTCCCCTTACATCCACCCCCACCCCTTTCTAACAATCCCATCCTGCCTTTCAACTATGCCATCCTATCTTTCATCCATCCCTTCCCCCTTCCAACCATTTCATCCTTTATTCTTACCACCCCTATCTCCCTTCCATCAATCCCCCTTCCAACTATCCATCCTTTTTTCTAACCAACCTATCCCCCTTCTATCCATCCCATACCCCTTCAATCCCACCCCCTTTTATCCATCTCATACCCCCTTCCAGCCTTCCCATCGCTCCTTACAACAGTCCCATCTCCCTTTCCAACTCTCCCATCATCTCTTCCATCTCATCCCCCTTCCATCCATCATCCCCTTCAAACTATCCCATCCTCATTTCTAACCACCCCTTCTCCCCTTCCAACTATCCCATACTCCCTTCCAACTATCCCATCTCCCTTTCCACTTAACCCCATCCTCTTTCACCCACCATCAACCCTGAGTGAACGTTATTTTAAAAAATATACGGAATTATTAACCAATTTGAAACATTTCCCAATTTTTATCAGCAATTTTCAAGTTACGTCGTTTATTTATGTGTTTGTTTGTTCTATGTCCTGTTTAAGAATTTTTATTAGTATAAACTTTTTTGTTTTATTCTAATTTCTAACAATACGAAAGTAAACAAGAAAACTAATAAAAATATGACGACACAAATCAAGCAAGTCACTTTGTGTGTGGGAGAATAATTATAACATTAACAATGTTGGAAAAATTTTTATTACATTCCTGTAAATGAATCCGGATTTTACGGCCGAGTCAATAAGCGAGTTTTTTTCTTCTCTCTCTTATTTGGATGTCAACAAAGCGTCTATTGTGATGTTCAGGAGCTTCCTCGTTTTTGTGGTTCTCGCCTGTGGTGGCGTTGCCTCGGTGAGTAGTGGTGCCCAGTGTGTCTCATGTATTACCTGGGCGTCATCCATGTATATCATTATGTATCACCAGTGAATCTGTAATAATAAAAGGACGTGTTGTCTGTCTGTCTGTGTTACGAACCACGCCATCTATTGTCCTGATCTACCTACCCAGCACCACGAGCAACGCCATCTAGGGACGAAACCCGAGTATGACTAGTCTTGGTTACCACTCCGGGGTTTCCCTTCTCCATATCCTGGTTGTTGCGTCACCTCCTCAAAGTTTTCTTCATCAGCTCCAGTTCGATGAGAGTTCAGCTCACTCTGGGAAGTGACCACAGGATCACCTATCCTGGAAACCTACGGCACAGTGACTACCTACCGTCTTCTACAAAACTCAGCCTTACTCGTCAGCCATCTCAGCTCCGCACTTAAGTATTTGTAATCTTATATTGCCTCCCACGTCCACTTGCTTCAAATTGTTGTATGTTGTATAAATATGTATATACTGTTAATGTTTAGGTTAAGTATGGTTAAGGGTAAATTATAGAAAGCCGAATATTTTGTTAAGGAATTTATGGTACTTTATTATACACAACAAAAACTCGCATCCTTTGTCTACCCTTTTATAGTCCGATTGTCTTTGTTTTTTTATTGTTGTTGCCTGTTGGGATCTGGGTAGACTTTTAACTATATTCTAAATCCCCAACTCGTAACACTGTCTATTCCAGTCATTGCCCCAAAACAGAAGCAGTTAGAGACCTAAAATTGTACACACATATTACATGGGTCCCAAGGTTGTGCACCTTAGTATTACGATTGGCCACGGACTCCAGGGTGGTCCGGGCAAGACCCAAAAATCTTCCCCGACTGAGATATCACCTCGGTGGTGGTGGGAGGTGGTTACCCGTGTCAGGGAGAGCAAACTGTGGCAGTCAAAGTTATACAGTATATACCTAACCCGACCAAAGACGGGTAAGTTTCTTAGCAACTAATATATCACCTGTGCATCACTCATGCATCACCCATGTATCACCCATGTATCACCCATCACTCATGCATCACCCATGTATCACCCATGTATCACCCATCACTCATGCATCACCCATGTATCACCCATGTATCACCCATCACTCATGCATCACCCATGTATCACCCATGTATCACCCATCACTCATGCATCACCCATGTATCACCCATCACTCATGCATCACCCATGTATCACCCATGTATCACCCATCACTCATGCATCACCCATGTATCACCCATGTATCACCCATCACTCATGCATCACCCATGTATCGTATGTATACCATTTTGTAACCAGTGGATTGCCTTTATTTCCCATGTATTATTAATACCTGTACATCACCTACAGTATGCATCACTGTAATAATGTTGACAAGGCAGCAGGGAAATACAGTTAAATTGTACAAGCCGGAGTTACAGTCTATTACAAAGGAAATACTTGGTGTGTGGCAACTCATGGTGGGTACTTTAAATACATGTTTATTTTATTCATCTGTGGGTGAGAAGGACGAGGTACTGGATTTATAGCAGAATCGATGAATTAGGGGCGATATTTTTCACTACTTAAAGCAGGGTCGGTAATCTTGAAAATAACTTTCGTCTTGTTTTCTTGAATACAGGTTGAACTTTTTCAACCATCAATTTTGCCGGAAAATATCATTATCAGAAGGGGAGATGCACATGTGTAGAGAGCCAGTAATAGAGCCCAGTAATAAGAACATAAGAATGGTGGAAACTGAAGCGGGCCTGTTGGCCCACACTAGGCAGCCCCGTTTACACCTAACCCATATCGTACATATATCCGTCCAACCTATATTTGAAAAACCCAAAGTGTTCGGGTTAATGATGATGTTTGGTAACATGTTTCACTCATCCACTACTCCATTTCCAACCAGTGTCAAATTTAAAGCCAGTGCTACGAATTCGTTCCTGATTGGATAGTTTGAGTACTTTTTTATATCACCTTTCTTTAACCCAGACTACAGTTATACACCTCGATCTTATCGCTCCTAACTCTACGTCTCTCGAGGGAGTGCAACTTAAGATGCTTTAATCCAGTGGTTCTTAACCTTTTTTGAGTCACGGACCCCTTTGGGAATCTGGTGAAAGCTATGGACCCCCCCCCCCCTCCCCCTAGAAAAATGCACATAAGCACATAAACATAACTTTGCATGCAATGAATATACTTTATTCTATTGAAAATTCATTGCCTCATACAGTGTATGACATACACAAAGTATGACTAAAGTAAACAATCTTAACAATTATGTTTCATACTTTTTTATGCAAAAATTAATGGCCACTCCATACAAAAATGAAATACAATCATCTTGTGCAAATTAAACAAAACAAAACTTTAATTCTGCTCAAAAGTTCATTTCAATGAGAAGGTTGTTGTTTGGCTTGAATAAGAAGATGAAACTGTAGAGTGGTCTTTGACAAGGTAACACGCATCTTATCTTTGACATCCAATCGATTTCGACTTTTCGTTTTGATAGAAACAGGTGCTGAAAACCTTGACTCACAAAGGTATGTAGTAGCAAACGGAATCAGAGCACCCATAGATCGCTTTACCAGACGAGGGTAGGCGTGTGTCAACGCACATCAGAATTCTCCAAGGCTCTTTGAGTTGAATTCATTTCGTAACATTTCCTTTGTCTTCAGGTCAATGAGGTCATCTTTGGCAAGGTCTTCATCACTGAGACAGTCTATGTCGGCAAGGAAAGGATTACGAATCCATGTTTCAACTTTAAGGTCACCTGAGCAGAAGTAACCTTTGAAAGAGTTCTGCAGAGTATCCAGATGTCTGCAGAATTCTGCCTGCAGAGAAATTGACAGGGCCTCGTCACTCTCGGTTCCATCCTGCAGAAGCACTTCCTCTAACTTTGGAAAGTTTGCATAGTTGTCTGCCTCCAACCTCCTCTTCCACAGTGGCAGCTTGATCAGAAAAGCTTGCAGTCTTTCAGCAGCATCCATAATGGTGACTCCAGGGCCTTCAATCGCCAAGTAGGCCAAGCCATGAATGAACTCCTCACTGTCAAACTGTTCTGAGAGTGGGCTTTCTTTTTCTCTCAAAAAAAGTGAAACTTCTGCTCGTAGTTCAATCAAGCGCTTCAAGATTTGTCCTCTGGATAGCCAGCGAACTTCTGTGTGGTAAAGAAGAACTTCATATTCTGCTCCCATTTCTTGACAAAACCTCTTGAAAACGCGATGGTTCACAGCCCTGGCTCTGATAAACTTGACGACTTTCACGCCAGTAGACAAGACTTCTTTCAGAATTGCTGGCAGAGTCTTTGACGCCAATGCATGCCGATGTAGAAAACAATGGGTCACGATGACCTGAGGAGCTTCTTTCTTCACCAAAGCAGCTAAACCAGATGTGTTGCCAAGCATCGCAGGTACTCCGTCTGTGCACAGAGTACAAAGATTTTTCTTCCCAGTCGAAGTTTTGCTTGGCAAAGAAACTATTCACCATTTCTAAGATGTCGATGGCCTTTGTAGTTTCCAAAAGGGGCTCACAAAATAGGAATTCTTCTTTGATGGCATCAGCATGCATATAACGGACGAAAACCAGGAGCTGGCTGCACTGAGAGATGTCAGTAGCTTCATCCAGTTACATGCTGAACGGAAATGGCGTAGCTGACAATTCTTCCATTACTTGCTTCAGAATATTAGAAGAAATGTCAACAATTCTAGAGTGGATGACGTCATTTGACAAAGGCACTCCTGCAATTTTCTTCCTTTGCTCCAGGCCACAAACCAGCTCGACCATTTCCAGGGCACATGGCTTTACCAAGGTCTCTCCAATCGTATGTGGCTTCTTTTGCTTAGCAATATGATAAGCAACCTTGTAGGGCGGCCAGTCGGCCGCGGCGAGTTTCCCGCGGCCAGTTGGGCTGCGGCCAGATGGCGGCGGCCAGTTGTCCTAGACCCAATGATACTGACTGATGACTTCCTACCCTACTGACGCACCCAGACCCTAACTTTTTCCATTCTCTCTCTATTTATGCATCCCTACTCTAACTACGTGCACCCAGTCCCTAACTTTGACCAATAAATAATAACAGACTTCTTGTAAATAATGTATAAAATAAATAAATATAGCGCACCAACCGTTCTTGGTTTTTCACAACACTCGCACGCGCCTTTCACCATATGCTCCCACATACTCACAAACACATATTCACACACTGTACACCCATCACTCTTCAGCCACACTCTGAAATTGTAGTCAGAAGGCTGTCGGAGGTCTCCAACCTCGGCTGATATAGCTATAGTAATAATAACTAAGGCCCTCTTTCGCTACCTTCACCAAAAACATAACCACAGGTAATTGAATATATTTAGGAAAAATTATGTATTTGAAGATACTATGGCCCTCAGTTAAACCTTACCAGTATATGAGAAGATTCCCAAGCTGTGATAAGCCGTGGAAAATGAGAAATAAGCACTTAATTTGGAGTGGCTCAAGATGGCAGTTGAGCAGAGAACGATGCTACCAATTTAAATAGTAAACATGGGCCACCAGAGACGCTCAGCGGTCAGCGCTATAAGCAGTGGCAGGGTACTTTTTCTTTAATTTATTTCAGTGGGAAACCATTCTAGAAGTCAAAACCTGACGACGATGACGATTGTATGTTACCTGACCGTGTACAGTAGCATTCCATGCCACCCTACAGATTTACTGGTTTTCTTCAGTAACCAAAAATACATACATAACATCTGATATATATTGACAAAAATAGAACAACTTAATATAAAAATATAGTGAATATAAATGTTAAATTTTTATCTGACCTTCACGAACCCCCTGAAGCCCATTTATGGACCCCTGGGGATCCATGGACCCCAGGTTAAAAACCCCTGCTTTAATCTGTATTCATACTACAGGTTTCTAATGTACGGGATTAATCTTGTCATCCTCCTCTGAATTCTTTCTTGGGATTCTATATCCATTCTGTAGTACGGTGACCAGAACTGAACCGTGTAATCCAAGTGAGGTCTCACAAACGCAAGATAAAGTTTTAGGATAACCTCGCTAGTCTTGTAACTAACACTCTTTTGTATGAATCCAAGTGCTTTGTTAGCCTTGTTTCGAGCAAATATGCATTGTTCTCTTGGTTTAAGATTAATTACTTATTATTACCCCTAAATCTTTCTCGCGGTCTGATTTCTCTATATCAACGTTGTTCATCTGATATTTGGTTTCTCTGTTTACATCTCCTAGACTAAGTACTTTACATCTGTCTACATCAAATTTCATCTGCCATTTTTTCAGACCATGCAAAAAATTTTTTTAGATCTCCCTGTAATTTTGCAGAGTCCTCGTCATATTTAATTATTTCACTGGTCAACAGCCAAAATGGTTCACATATGAGATCATGCTCACACAACTAATTTCATATTGCTGAATTCGAATCTGATATTTGTTTTGTTCTATCAGACCAGGTTTTATAAAAAAATCAATAGGTACAAATATTTAATATTCCATCACGTGTCGTGCAAAAAATGAGATTATCTCATGTGACTGTGCTTTCATGACTAATTTCATATTAATGAATATTAATTGGATGTTTCATTCTACCATCAGACCTACTTTCTTAAAGAATAAAAAAAATAGTAAATATAGTAACATTATCGCGTCATGCAAGATACAATTTTAAACCTATCACAGATAAGCTCATAAAAAATTGTACCAAAAAACATAAGTTCAAATCCTTTATAATGACAAAATATGAAGTTCTAAAAGTGCTTCTGAACTTTACTCTTTCTCTTGTACAGCTTGCTCTCTTCTCGTTGCAGTGTCCAGCAATAGTCGCCCATCATGTTAGGACTGAATTGTCCCTGATATCTGCTCTCCATTATGGCGATATCTTGATGAAATCTTTCGCCGTGTTCATCACTAACGTCTCCAAGGTTACCTGGGAAAAATTCAATATGAGAGTGGAAAAAATGCAATTTCAAGGACATCCTTGCTCCCAATGCATGATAATTCTGAAGCATGGTTGTTACGATTTCTTTGAAGTTGTCATCACGATAGTTTCCAAGAAAATTCTTTGACACATTGACAAATGATTCCCATGCCTTTTTCTCCAGTGGGTTCAATGTTTTGGTGAATTCGATATCATTAACTAGTATACGAATTTGTGGTCCATTCAAGACACCTGCTTTCAACTTGGCTTCGGAAACCACACCACCTAGTTTCTGAGATAAGTATAGAGTCCCAGCACCGAATTGATCCATAGCTTTGATGAAATTTTTAGCCAAACCGAGCTTTAGATGCAGTGGAGGCAAAAATATCTTTTCTGGATCTACAAACGGATTGTGAGCACAGTTAAACCTTCCAGGCGCATCTCTTGGTCTTGTCGGCCAATCCTTTCTCACATAGTGCTCTGCATCAGCTCTGCTGTTCCACAAGCACAAAAAGCACATGTGCTTTGTGTAGCCACTCTGAAGGCCCAGTAGTAAACTGATGACTTTGAGATCGCCACATATCTTCTACTGGTGTTTCTCATACTCTATAGCAGCCAACAGAATTTTCATTGTTTCATAGCTCTCAGTCATTTTTGCTGCGTGTGCTATTGGGACAGATGGAAGCCGATTGCCATTGTGTAAAAGAACAGCTTTCAGAGAGTCTTTTCCTGAGTCTTTAAACAGCCTCCAATCCTCTGTCTTGTATGTTTCAGATTTGCAGAGTTGTTGCATGAGAGATACTGCGTCCTCGCAATAACAAAGGTTGTTTGCCATCTTGAAAAATGCAGACAGCTGTCTATGTCGGTAACGCGCTGTAGTGATATGCACTCCATCTTCTAGCAGGTTACGCTGCTTTAGTCTGGATCCCAAAACTTCAGCCTTTTCTTTTGACAAGTTTAGGTCCCTGATGAGATCATGAAGCGCTTCTTGAGTAAATAGTTTAGGCCTGGTATTTTCAGAGTCATCCTGGTAGTCGTTTTCCATTGAGGTAGAGGTAGAATCGGAATCACTCAATTCTTGTTCAGTCGGTGGATTTGGGACTGGAAGTTCAGCACTGTGCGGTACTGGTCGGATTGCAGAAGCAATATTGGGGTACTGTACCTTGCCTCGTGTCTTGATTTTTATTCCCTTAATATTTGTGAGACAGAAGTAGCAGTCACTACTGTGGTCTTTAGGTTCACGCCATATCATTGGTACAGCAAACGGCATTCCTGAACTTCGTTTACCACACATCCACTCGCTCAGGTGGTTAACACAAGACTTACAGGCTACATGAGGTGCCCATTTCTTGTCTTGGTCACCCAAATGACATTTGAAGTAACTTTTGTAGTTCAGTCGAACAGCTTTTGTGATTGGTTTCTTGAGGCTACCAGGAGTGAAGGCACCACATATGTAGCAAAAACTGTCAGCACCGTTCACACACTTGCGACGTTCCATGTTTTGTTAATTTCAGAGTAATTACAAATCATGCAGGTGTAGATATGCAATATCATGAATCAGCAAACTGAAACAAACAAAAAAGCACAAATCAGGACAAAATAATTGCATAAGTGGAGCCAATGAGCATATAAATTACTGTATGAATAGCATGGTGCACTAAATATATAGATATGCTGGTTCTGGAAAACTGAGCCTGATACAGCTATACGAATGTCATAATTGAGTTCAGCACATACAATTACACTAGAATCAGACTGTTTTGATCCAGAACCATGATAATTTTTTTTTTATGTTGACCAGTGTTATTCGTCCTATTTTAGTCTCGTCAGCAAATTTACTTATGTTGCTGTCTATGCCGATATCTATTTTTTTATGTATACAATAAATAATAATGGTCAAAGTGCTAAGCCTTGGGCTACTCCAATCTGTGTTTCCTGTCCTGTAATCACATCCTAATTCAGTTTAGAATATCTCCTCCAATTCCATGAGCCTCCACTTTACATATTAGTGTTTCGTGAGGAACCCTGTCGAAGATTTTTGTTAAAGTCGAGGTAAACCACATCATAATCATGTCTGCCATCCACTAATTCAAAAACAGTTGAAAAGAATAATAATAAATTTGTCAGACATGAACGCCCACTTGTGAAGTCATGTTAGGAATCATTGCTCAATTTGTGTTTCTCGGTGTGATCTATCTCCCGTCTTGAAATCGATATCACATTCGCTATCCTCCAGGATTCTGGTACCACAGCGAATTTTAATGACATGTTAAACAATTTTGCTAAAGGTATACTAAGTTTTCCCTTACATTCCCTTAATATTCTGGCAAATATCTCGGTCAGGACTTGGCGACTTATTAGGTTTTAGTTGATCTATTTGTTTACTTACATCGTTACTAGATATTACTATCTCGCTTCATCCATTATCTTCACTATCTTTGTAGATAGTCGGTGCCTCGGGTACCCTGTTTAAATTTTCGG